AAAAGAATTGTAAGTTCAGTCCCAACTTGGGCAAGTGAAGGCTTTCGTGACACCCGATCACACAATGAAATAATAACACAGCACTGGGATGTAGCTCAGTGCGAAGGTCCTAGGTGCACTGTCCAGTGCTGGGGGGAGTGGGGCAATGCCTCAAGCCAGCGAAAATCTCTATAGAAAACTCTTTGAAATGCAAAAATAACATTTATTTATAGATCAACATTGAATATAATTAAAAGCAGAGAAAGTGAGCTTAGGAAAGTAGAGAATTCAGGAATGCCTGAAACTGATATATATAAAATTTAAAGTGTCTTGTATTTCTCTTCCGCAGGAAAAAGTAAAAAGAAGGAAAAATGTAAAAATTCCCAGCTATACCCCCTGATCGAGACGCAGTATTGTCCTTGTGACAAATACAGTGCGCAACCTGTGGGAAACTGGTCAGACTGCATCTTGCCAGAGGGGAAGGCAGAGCTGCTCCTGGGACTGAAAATGCAAGGCAGCGATGTTAAGGAGTGTGGGCAAGGCTACCGCTATCAAGCAATGGCGTGCTATGACCAAAAGGGCAGGCTCGTGGAGACGTCCCGATGCAACAGCCACGGTAACCCAGCGTTCCTTCCCTGTCTTCTTACACTGGCTACTTGGCATGTATCGTGGGGAGGGGAAATGACAGTGAGCAGAAGTGTGCTCCAAGTTGAACACGATGAGTACAACCTGCTCTGTCATTCATAGGTAACAGGACATTCATTCATTGGTACTCTCAGGTTGCCCACAACTGGCAGCTAGTGTCCACAGTTGGTGACAGGCAGGCTTACTGGGCTCACGTGTGCCATGAACCTCCCATCAAGCTTAACAAGTGCCTGCTCATTCAGTAGACCCAGCAATCTCCAGTTGATTTATATACAGAATAGTTAGGAAGAGGAGACAAGATTTGAATTCAAACTGAAATTGATGTTTCAAGTAGCCAGGTGTGGTAGCCCATGCCTGTAATTCCAGCCAGTTGGAAGACTGAGGCTGGAAGTTCACAAGTTTGAGGTAGCCTGGGCAACTTAGTGATTTACCAAGAGTCTGTCTCAAAAATTAAAAAAATAAATAAATAAATTGAAAAGGCTAAGTATGCAGTTCAATATAAAGACCCTAGATTCATTCCCCAGTAGCAGAATTTTTTTTAAAAAATTTTAGAAGTAGGTTCTTAAGGGCCAAACTTTGCAGTGTACCTCAAGTGTCATTAAGTGGTGGAGAAGAAAGGTGGAACGCAGTAATTGGTGAAGACCCAAGTATCTGTTTAAGTTGTTAAGATTCAAAAGGCAAAACAAGGGCCCACTAGATAGCTCAGTGAACTGAGTGCCTGCTTTGGCAAGCACAGTGACCAAGGTTTGATCCCTAGTCCTGCCTGCCATGCTGGCCCTGCCCCTGGGGTGTACTGAGCTGGTGACCAAGTCTGGGAGTGATGGCACACACCTGTAATCCTAGCACTGGGGAGGCTGAAAACAGGAGGATCACTATGATGACCAAGAAGGGGTGAGTTAAGTTGTTAGGAGCCAGGGGCATGGCGGGTATGCCCAACTTTGCTGAACTAGCTGATGCTATTGAAACAGGATTACTCTAGCTTCATTATATGGTTCAGAAAACAACAGAAACATTTCACATTCATAAGCTACAAGCTATCATGGTGATACATTTATTGTGATCTCTTAAACCGTCCCTATGAAGTTCTTTCTAAGACAAGCATTTGTTTTTCGTTTTAACTTTTCCTTGTATTTCCCGTTTTACCTGGGGATGCAAATCCCAAAGACTCCACACTATGTAAGCCGCAGAGCTATGATCCTGGTAGGAAGTTTTCTTTTCTTATATATAATTTATCTGGGAGCAAGGTTACCATCACAGATGGTGCCGCGTGTTGGACACAGTGACAAAGTTCTGACACTGCACAGGAAGAGTATGACTAGAATGGATAGAACATAATGATTTAAGGAAGGTAGTGACTGCCTAAGAAATAAGTCAGAAGCTGAATTTCTTCAGATATTAGTTGGAGCAAATGTATTAGTAAACACTAGAATATCCCGCTGGATAATCCATAACTGAGCAGATTAATCAGAAACAAAATGGAAAGGCATCGTTCCCTGTCGTAGTGGGTAAGAGGCAGTAGGGTCTTGCATACAAACTGAAATGGAGTCTTTTTGAGTTGGTAGGATTTATTTAATGTCTAATTCATTTCAGAGTTGGAACTTCTTTCTCATTGGGAAGCATAGAAACAGCTGGTGAAGTTTTACAGTTACAGTTGCGATCTTTTCCTTTTTTTCCTTTCAAATGGAAAAAAGAGGCAAAGGGTGAAGGACTGACTTTTCCTGGGGTAACTGGCTACAGACTTAAAGAGCAAGGGAGGGAAGCAGAGAATGTCTTGGACGCACGGCAGCCAGAGGCCACTGCCTAGGGTCTCATTAAAGAGAGTGAGGATTCCTGCACTATTCTGACATAGGCTATCAGAGGGAGCGCTGTGAGGCACAGAACTGGAAGTTATCCTGCAGGTCCCATTCACATCAGAAGTGAAGGAAGGCATCTGCCATTATCATTTAGTTCTTTGAGTTTCTGTCCCTGACACTTAACTCACCTAGCTACTTAATAATGTGGTTTTTCAAACTGGGCTCCACAGGGACCCTCCGGCTAGCTGTCCGACGTGGGCTCCAGTATGCATGATGCCCTGATTTAGCTTCCCTTTCAGCTCTATTTTGGATGAAAGTAATGGTACTGCTTAAAATAAATTAAACTGCCAAGAACAATTCATTATCACAGTAATAAACAACTTAAAATCAATTTGTATTTTGTCTTAACAGTATTATTTTCTACTATTTTATTCCTCATCCCATCAGCCTCTGAGCATGTATTGCCCCTTCTGTCATAAAGACAGGATAAAATTAGTTTCAGTAAAATAATTTTGAGGTGATAATCCTTCTGATATCTGTGGAAGTTTTCTTTTCTTATATAAAACCATAGCTGTTTGGTTTATGTGCTGTGATACAAGGTCTCACGATTTAGAAAGATACAGAGCAGCCTTGGAAATCCAACTACACATTCCTACTGTATGTGTAAATCTCTGGAAATCCAAAAGTTTTAAAGTTCTATATCACATTAGCAGAATTACTTTTGTTCCTAAAATATCTTTCCTTCTTCAAAGTGACCTTAAAATGATCAAGGCTGAAGAGTAGGGATATCTTTTGTATAAATGTGTGGAGAAGATTCTTTCAATAGCTACAAGCTGTATCCATGGTTTCAAACTAAACCTGAAATTATGCTAAGAAGTTTGCGTGCAGTTTCAATGCCATTCTTCAAAGAAAATCTTTAGCTGAGCTTTCTCTCAATATTTATCCAATTCCTGCACAGCTAGCAATATATCCCTTACAGGAAACTTTGGTTACTCTGATTTTTAAAAAGAAAAATTGACTCTCCTTTGGTCATTTAAACCTTTTTTTTAAAATGCAATACTTTTTAAAAAATTCAAATGTTACCCATATAACACTTCATCCTCTTGGTATTAAAATTAATTTCATGCTAGCTTACCCGTAAGTTTGACTTTTAAATCTTTAATGTATATAGTAATATTCTGAGACACTTAAGCTTTGAGTTTTATTGTTATTGTTCATGGTTTATTTGTTAAGTTTCATAGTTGATGTAGTTCTACATTTTTTTCTATACATTAAAGTGAACATAAAAGATAATGTACTTTTAGGGGCCAGGGAGATGGCTCAGTAGAATAAGTGCTTGCCTGGCAAGCACAAGGGCCTGAGTTCAATCCCCAGTTCTACAAAATAATAATAATAATAATGAAAAGATAATGTACTTTTTAAAAAATTAAAATTTTTGTGTGATTTAAAATATTAATCTAATTTTAAATCATTACAATGAAATCCCATATGGATGTTTTATTTCTCTGGCAGAGCAAGATGGTGTAGGAAAATATCAATTTTAAGAATGCCATATCTGGGTCATTCTACAGATTCACAGTTTCTATTAGCATGAATAAATAAATAAGCAAGACTATAACAAATTTGTCTACCTAATTGAATGTATCAGTTTTCATCAGATTATCACAATACCTTTTTGTGAACATTACATCTAATTATCATGAGAATCCAACATGTTGAAGTACCATCTTAGGAAATATTCTATGGCAACATTAGGTTGAAAGAACAGTGTTCTGCATTGGATCAGATTAAAAATAAATAATTCTGGGGCTGGAGAGATGGCTCAGTGGTCTAAAGCACCTACTTAGAACAAGCTTAGCAAAAGCATCAGGGACCGCGGTTCAATCCCCCAGCA